GCCCAAGATCCCAAGAGGAGAATGGAGGAGAAGGGATTGCGGCGTGGCCATCCCCCCTGGGGGGTGATTTCTCGCTCTTTCTCTGTCTCTGTATTTCTGGCAAACGCACATGCCCTATAGCAAACAAACAAATAAAAAAACAAAACAACTCTCTGAAAAAAAAAAAAAGCATATTCACAGTTATACAGTCATCATCATCAGTCTATTTTGGAATGTTTCATCACCTTAAACAGAAACCTTGTGCCCTTTAAAGCTTACCCTTTGTCTCCCCTTCCCTCCCTACCTCAGTCCTAAGCAACCACTACTCTACTTTCTATTCTTGCAGATTCTCCTCTTCTGCACATGTCATGTGAATGGAGTCATACGATATGTGGCTGTCTGTGACTAGCTTCTTTCATGTACCATCATGTTTTCAGACTTCACTCACATACACATAGCATGTGTCAGTCCTTCATTCCTTTTTTCTTTTCTCTCTCTCTCTCTTTTTTATAGAGAGTTTTGCTATAGGGTGCATGCACCCACCAAAGAGACAGAGAGAGACAAACAGAAAGCGAGAAATCAGACCTGCATTCTCTTCTCAGGATTCCTGGCACACACATGCACCCAGTGTGAGTTTCAAGCTGCCAGGTCCAGGACTCAAACCATGGTCAACCATGTGGGAGTCCAGTGTCTCAACCACCATGCCACTTGCTAGCCTCCCTTCATTTCTTTTTAAGACTGAACTTCAGAGTATGGATATACCATATTTTGTCTTTCCATTTATCCATGGATGGATATTTGGGTTGTTTCTGCCTTTTGGCTTCTATGGATAAAGCTATTATGAACATTCATGTACAAGTTTCCGTATGGATATGTGTTTTTATTTCTCATGTCTTTATATCTATGAGTGGAAATTTCTGGGTCACAGGGTAATTGTTTAAGAGCTGTCAGTTTTCCAAACTGGCTGCACCATTTCACACTCCCCCCAGCACAGCATATATGGCTTCCGGCATCTCTACAGGCTCACCTAAACCTATTCTAATTTCCACTCCTCCTTTAGATCTCTGTTTAAGCATCCCTTCTCCTGGCAAGCTCATCCTAGGATCTCCAACCTTTTACCAGAGTCTAGTTCAGCTTTGTTTGCTTTATGGTCTCAAGGAACTGAGCCCCTGCTCTTTGGGGTACTCAGGTATACTTTAGTGCCATTATTCCATTATCATGTCTTTCCCTTGATGCTGTAGACGCCATGACAGCAGGAACTATGTATTTGTTCACCTGTGCAACCTTAACCCAAAGCCCAGCCCACAGTACTAGCTCACTGCAGATCTTTGGAATGAATAAAAGTCAGGGAATGAAAGCCCAAAGGTCACACGACTCATTCAAAGTCACAATGCACAAAGTCACGAGGAGTGGTGGAGGAGCCTTTGTCCTATATCTGCCCTTCCCATATGGTAACCACTAGCCTCGGGTGGCCACTGAGGTCTTGAAATGTGGCTAGTGGCGACTGAGAAATGAAGTTTTAAATGCTATTTCATTTTAATTCGTTTAAATTCAAATAGCCGTCAATGCAAGTGGGAGGAGTGAAGTAATAGCCATACCCTCAGTTCAGAGTTCAGCCTCCTTCTCTGGTGCCAGAACCTTCCTTCTCACCAGCAGCCTTTGCCTGGCAGTCCAGACTAGGTTTGGGGCCACAGGCTGAGCCTCAGGCATGACTGACCACAGATGTCTTTGGGGTCTTGGCAGATACCAAGAGGCTTGAAACCCTGGAATTCTCCAGAATCAGGAAGGACCCAATTGCAGCTCCATATTGGGTAGTGTTGCTCTGCACCTTCTATTTACACTTACGGCTATTTAAATGGAAATAAATTAAAATAAAATAAAATTTAGAACTCAATTTCTAGTTCTCATTGGCCACATCTCAAGTGCTCAGTGGCCGCACGTGGCTAGTGACATGTGGATATGGTGGGTATAGGACATCTCCCTCGTTGCAGAAAGTTCTATTGGCTGGAGCTGCCCAGAGGTCTTTCTCACAGAGGAGTCTCCAATCTCTGTCATTGCCAGGAGAATCTCTTCTAACCCCTCACTCTGAAGGCCGTAGAGTCCATAGGCCAAACTCGACCTCCTATGGGTAACTGATTTCCTAGGATTCAGAGTCCTTCCCTTTCCACTAGGGGGCACAGTCCACATTCTACTCCATCTTCCTGTGTGCAGGTGGGGCTGGGGACTCCCACCCAATCGCTGGGCAGTCCATTTTTCTCCTTTGCAGCACAGCAAGTCCTAGTATTTCTCATCCCAGGCTTACGAGAGCAAGAATTCCTTCTCTCTTCCTAGTACTAAGACACACTAGTACCCAGGGTGCAAAGCCCTCTCAAAGGGGAGAGGAAAAAAGATTCTTTCTAGTTCATTTTCATTCTGACGAGCCCACAGGAAAATGAAATCGTTTATTTGCCCAGGTTCTCCTTCTCCTGATTCATAGGCGCAATCATTCAGGCCTGCTCTTCCCCACTCACAGGATGAGAGAATCTGATCATTGCAGCTAGAAAAGACTGCAGAGAGCACCTACTTCATTCTCCTCATTTTGCATAAGAGGAAGCAGGCCCAGGGAAGGAAAAGTACATGCTCAACATCACGCAGAATTCATATGGACTGTCAACAAGTATTGAGTGACTCCGGGCTTTGCAGGAGGAATGGGAATACATCGTATTGATCACCCACAGTGTATCAGGTGATTTATAAATAACATGCCAACTCATTTAATATTTACCACTAGCTTAATTGCCTATTTCAGGTCAGGCTAAGGCTCAGAGGGATTAGATATCTTGTCTAAGACCACATAGATAGTAAGAAGCAGAGCGAGGACTTGAACCCAGGTCAGTCTGGCTCTACAACCCCAAAGAGTTGCTGTGCAGAGGGTGATACTGGGCCATTTTGATTGGAAGGAAGGGGATGGGAGATGAGCCAGAAGGTAGATGCTGGGAGAAAATACTTAGAGGGGAGGTTTCAGATGTCGTGCATAACCAGCCTTGTCGACCAGTGCTCACAGCAGAAGTATCAGGCACCGTAACTGGATGTTTTAAATTCCAGTCTAATAATTTCTCACTTATAAGAAAAGCTTGTAAGATCATCTCTGTAATTTTTCTCTCAAGACTTGTACTTCCCAAGTTCAGAGGCTTGGTCATGTACACGCTGTGGATGACGAGATGAACAGAACCATACCTGAGATGTACCAAAGTTCACTGCAACAAGGAGTCGGTGCTGCAAGATGAAGTTTTAGGTTGGAAATTTCGGCCACTAACGTTCGGTCTTGTTTCTGAGGAGAATCACGCCCCCTAGTGGAAATGGGTAGACTCTGCATTTTAGAGAATGACTCACAGGAGGTGTGGGGTTGTAAAGGTTCTGTTTATTTCATAGACTGTAGGAAATTTGTTTGCTTTTAATCAGCCAGTTTGGTTAAATATATTTATGGGTTTGTTGTACTCTGGATTTTTAAAGACGACGGTTTGGTGTTTGGAGCATAGTAAGAAACACTGCTGTGGAACTGATACTCTCAGAGTGGAGTCATTTCTCTTGCACCAGGATCCCTCCCAAGAAACCTGTGAAAGTACTGATTCCTGATATTTCTCAGATTGCAAAATCAGTCTGTCCCAGCTGAGGCTCAGGGATCTGCATTTGCTGGAACTCCCTGGTGAGTCTGCAGGGCATTTAGTCCAAGAGCCATGGGGCTGGAAGAGGAGCCTCCTCTCAGCTCTTCGAACATCACGTGAGCACTGTTTCCCTCTAACTGCCCATCCTTTTAGGCCCACTATGTGCCACCTCCTCAGTGAGGACACCTTCACCCCCATCACTGCCCCATTGGAATCAGATGAGATATGATATGTGGCTGCACCCTGAATAGTACACCCTGGCCTGCAGAAGACTCTCGGCACACATTTCTGTCGAGGGCATAGTAGTTGTTCAATAATACTTGAATTAAGTACCCTAAAACTTTACACCTCTTCTCTGTAGGCCATGGAAGACCATTGAAACGGGTGGGCCTGGGCCTGGGCCAGGCCTGGGTTGGCCTCTCTGATCCTCTAAAAAGCCTCAAACAAGTAATGCCCATCTCTCTGGGGCTCAGCTTCCTCTCTTAGCCCATAATTACATTATGTTATACTATATTATATTATATTATTATATTATATTATATATAATATTGTGTAAGATGCTCTCTCAGCAGACTAGCCTGAAAGCTTCTCCTGCTGGCCTTGAAGAAGCAAACAGCTGTGTTTTGTAATGTCTGTAGAGAGAGCCACATGCAGGGCTGGGGTGGGGGTGGGGGGACACTAGGACCTGGGTGGCCTTTTCCCAACAGCCAGTAGCAGCTGGGGTCCTCAGTCACACAGCTGTAAGAAAATGACTCTGCCAATAACCTCAGGGAGCTTGGACACTCTCCTCAGCCATGCTTTCAGATGAGAACATAAACCAGCTACCACTAAATTGTATTCTTGTGAGACCCCATGTCACTAAATTGTGAGGCCCTGCACACAGGACCCGGTGAAACTATGTCTGGGTTTCTCAACCGCAAAAACTATAGAATAATAAGTATGTGTTGTTTTCAGTCACTTGTTTGTGGGACTTCGTTACACTGCAATAGAAAAAATATACAAAGTGGAAAGAAAGGCTCTTTTCCAAATGATAGTCCTCCATTTTAAAGGGTAGAGTGATAAATAAGTCACTCCGCACCTTGTAACTGCTTCCTCCCCTTCCTACCTCTTGTTCTGGCTGAGCCCAAACTGCCGGGGACAGTGGTCAGGTATGTTGTTCTGTGTAGCAGGCAGAGCTTCAGCATAAGGAAGGACTTGGTGCTCCCAACTGGAGTCTGCTCTTACTGCTGCTGCTCCTACCGGCACCCAGAGAGAGAGTGCAAAAAGTTACAGCTGGACTTGGAGTTCTAGGGGGCCAATGATGGTAGCTGGATTCACAGCCAGCATTTTCGATCCTCAAATGATACAAGTGTGGACAAAAGTTCTCATCAGGCTATTGCTAACTACTGAAGTCAACTGGGCACTTGAGAACCTCCTTTAATGCTATTTTATTTTCTTCTATGCAGACCAGTGCGGGGGAAAAAAATCCCATAGATTCTTCTGGAAATTGTCAAGATTCTGGAAAGATGAATGCAAAACTTGCATAGATTGGGATGCCCACAGTTTGGATTTTCAAGGCCTAGAATATGAAACAAAACAGAACAAATGGGACCTTTAGGATAAACACAATTGCCATCTAGAAGAAGAAGAAGGTGTAATAAAGCGTAAGCCAGTGTTTCCCAACCCTGGCTGCACATCAGAATCATCTAGGGAGGGGTTTCTAAAGGAACATTTATGTATTTATTTACTTAGGTAAGAGAGATTTTTTTGCTATAGGGTGGGTATGCTTGTCAGAGAGATAGAAAGTGAGAAGTCACCCCCTGGGGGGATGACCACGCCACAATCCTTTCTCCTCCAGTCTCCTCTCAGGATTTTGAGCATACATGCATGTGTGCCTGACGTGAGTTTAAGCTGCTGGATCCAGGGCTCAAACTGCATTCGACCACATGGGAGTCCATCAATGTAACCAGTACACCATCTGCTGGTTCCTTTAAATGAACTTTTAAATTTTAGGTATAACTTAAATATGATAGTGTGAATAAATCTTGAGTACAGCCTAGTGAATTTTCCCAAAGTAAGCACTCCTACATAACCATCACCTGAGTCCAGATAAAGGACATCTCCAGCCCGTCAAAACCTCCTTCGTGTTCTCTCCCACCACCGTCTCCACTCCCTCAAGAGGAAGTCGCTATTCTGATTTCCAACATTAGAGAAAAGAACCTGGGAAGCTTTGAAAAATATTGGTATCTAGGCCTGCCATGGAGGATCTGGTCTCATGATCTGGGTGGTGCTCTGGCCTGGGCAGCTTTAAAGGTTCTAGATTATTCCCTGTGCAGTCTGGATGGGAAGCATTACTGGTTTATGGCAAAGCCCATTCCCTGCAGGGTAGTAAGGGAGGCCCTAGCCCTCCTTGAACTCATAGCCCAAAGTGTTCCTCCTAGGCTTCCTGGTGATTTCTGCAGAAGCCTATTCAGGGGACCAGTGCTGAATCCACCTGGATGCTGGCATTGCCGACTGAGGTAGACTGGCTTAGTCAGGTGAATCACAGGCAGGCAGGTGGGCCTAGGCCATGGGTCCTGGGGAAGTGATAGGGTATGCACAGGCACCCATGGGGCGTGATAGCAAAAACACTCCATGGACCCTCCCCCGATCCAAAACAAAAACGAACACCACCAATTGACATGTATAAAATAAATCTGGTGTGGCCCAAGTCAGGCAGTCTAATTTGGGTTATAGTTATCAGTATCTACAGCTTTTCATTCTAAAAGGTGTCTTTTTAGAGTTATTTCTGTAAGAAACTGAGAGAGAGACCAGCAGATGGTGCAATGGTTACGTCATTGGACTCCCACATAGTTGACCACAGTTCGAGTCCCAGACCCAGCGGCTTAAAACTCATGTTGTGCATGTGTGCATGCGTGTCCAACGTCCCCAGAGGAGAATGGAGAAAAAGGGATTGTGGCATGATCATCCCCCCTGGGGGATGATTTCTTGCTTTCTGTCTCTCTCTGTCCCTTTGGCGAGTGCACGTGCCTATAGCAAAAAAAAAAAAAAAGTCTCTTGAAAACAAACAAAAAGAAACTGGGAACCAGCAGTTAGCGTAATGGCTATGTCGCTGGACTCCCACGTAGTTGCCCGCGGTTCGTGTCCCGGACCCGGTGGCTTAAAACTCACGCCAGGCGCGTGTGTGTGCGTGCCCAAGATCCCGAGAGGAGAATGGAGGAGAAGGGATCGCGGCGTGACCATCCCCCCTGGGGGGTGATTTCTCGCTTTCTGTCTCTTTGTCTCTCTCTGTCTGTCTGGCCAGCGCACGCGCCCTACAGTGAAAATCTCTCAAAAAAAAAAAAAAAAAAAAAAGAAAACAAACAAAAAGAATTTGAGCAAGCTTCTCTTATAGATCGCTGGAGAGTTGAAGCCAGTGATCTCAAAAAATAGTGGGCGAGAAGAAGAATGAGAAGAATAAAAAAGCATAGAGAAAAGAGACAACTGCACACACTTACGTGGCTTTTGCAGGATGGCTTGGTGAACCCAAACTTCTGCGTGATCTGGTTTGTCTTGAACTCCTGCCACTTGCCGTCTACCAGGGCCTGGGCTCTGATCTCGTACTTCACCAAGCGTTCTGTTCTCACGCTAACAGGGCTTAAGGCCACGGAGGCAAATTCCATGTCTGTGTGCCTTTTTCTCTGCAAAGAGAAACCCATCAGGTGTGGAACTGCAACTGGGGTGACCCAGGTAGCAAGACCAGTTCCCGGCACATAGACCCTCCTTGTACAATGTGTGCAGACAGCGAGGGTGCATTTCCTAGGTGGCCCCACTTCCAGAGACACTGCTACTGACTCAGCTGGCCTCTGAGCCCTCGCCGGACATGTCACTGACTGCTGGATGGGGTGTGGCCAACCCCAACGAATTCCATCGAGTCCAGCTTCATTATCACTTTGCCAGAACTAAAACACCAACGTAACATTCATCTGGGTATTCTGTGTTGTTACATAATGATCTTTTCCACCCAGTAAAATCCATTGTGTAGGGAGATGCCCAAGTCACCGTAGACCAAGAACAAAGGCCTAAGGAAGAGAAACGACTCGCTCACAGATGCTGCCTGAAGCAGTGGCAAAGCTGGGGTAAGACTTGGGATTCTGTACTCATGCAGTCAGTCACTCCAAGCTCCCGTGTTCTGGGTACGGTGTATGGCAGTGGTAATGCCAAGATGAGTATGACAGGATTTCTCAAGGTGCTTGCTGTTTTAAGAAGTGGCACTTTGAAGCAAATCCTAAGTGGAACAGAGTGGCCCTTCATTGTAATAGTTGTCACCAATATCGTCATCATCACTAATAATGATGCGTAGAGTGCTTTCTGTGTCAGGCTCCGCTCTGAGCCGTTCGCACAAATTAAAGATTAATACTCACAACAACCCAGGGAGGTAAGTCCTATTACCTACTACCTACTAAAGGTGAGAAAACTGAGATGGGACTTGTCAAGTCATGCAGTTTCCCAGGCAGTTTGACTGCAGACTCTATGTTCTTTTTTAAAAGAATTATTTATTTCATTATTATTATTATTTTCAGAGAGATATTTTTGCTATAGGGTGTGTGTGCTCACTGGAGAGACAGAGAAAGATGAAAAGTGAAAAATCAGCCCCCGGGGGAATGGTCACGCCGCAATCCTTTCTCCTCCATTCTCCTCTCAGGATTTTGGGCACTCGTGTACACATAATTGGCATGAATTTTAAGCTGCCGGGTCTAGGCTCAAACCATGGTTGACTATTTGGGAGTCCAGCAACGTAATCATTATGCCATCTGCTGGTCCCTATTATTATTTTTTAATTTTATGTATTTTCAGAGAGGTATTTTTGCTACAGGTGTGTGTACTTGCCAGAGAGAGATAGAAAGCAAGAAATTACCCCCAGGAGGGATGGCTGTAATCCCTTCTCCTTCATTCTCTCCTCAGGATTTTGGGCATGCATGCATACGCGTCTGGTGTGAATTTCAAGCTGCCAGGTCTGGGACTCAAACCGTGGTGGGCCATGTGAGAGTCCACTAACATAACCATTGCATCATCTGCTGGTTTCATTATTATTATTTTCAAATTTGCCATAGCATCTATGTGCTCACCAGAGAGAGACAGGGAAATAGAGAGAGAAAGAGAGAAAGCAAGAGACCAAGTCCAGGACTCAGATCGCAGTAGGCTATATGGGAGTCCAGCACCTTAACCACCATGCCACCTGCTGGACCAGACTTTATGGCTCATATACAAAGTAGTCTGCTTTGTGTCTTTTCCTTCGTCTTTTTTTTCTTAAAGAATTATTTTATTTTACTAACTTTATATATTATATATATAATTATATATATTATATACCAAATATATATATCAAATATTATATATATTGTATGTCAAATATATATATCAAATATATTATAATTTGACCAGAGCGAGGGACAGAGCAAGAGAGAGAGAGAGAGAGAGACAGAAAGTGAAAAAGTAAGCTGCCAGGTCCTGGACTCGAACTGATGTTAGCCACGTGGGAGTCCAGTGCCCTTAGCCATCATGCCACGGGTTGGCCTCCAGTCTCCTGCATCTTCTAAAAGTGCAGCAGAAGCATCGAGGCAAAGCTATCCACCCTCTTGGCTTCTCCAGTGTCCTACTCACCATCCTCCTTTGCCACTCCAAAAAGATTATCCCCTTCCCCACTTGTAGGCAATACTCACTACCACCCCAGAAGAATGACCATTTGTAAAGCAGCATTCACCATGTACCAACTGCAGATGAACTAAGCCTAAATGTAGACATGAGAAACTAGAATTTAACCCCAACTTTACTAATGGAAGTCAATGAACACAAAGACACTCAGTTTTGAGATCCTTATCTGTTAAATAGGCCAACAACACCTGCTTCCCAAGGTTGTTGCAAAAATACAATGACATCACATCTCTACGCATGATTAACACCAGGCTTGCAACACAGTCCATATTAATTATTGATCAATGATTAATCAATTATTATGAATCTAACTTGAATTTGGACTCTTTTCTATTTTTTCTAATGTAATATGGACTCTGAATCTAAAAATCTTTCTTGTCCTCTGTCCTTACCTGCATGTAAAAACTGTAAGAGGCTGTATTATGTTTGATTCCTTTTAGCTCAAAGAAGAATCCATATATAGCAATCATTTCTGAGTAAGTCGTGTACTCCTAAATAGGAAGAGGCAAAGAGAAACCATGAAGTGAAGGGGGGAAAATCTTCAGTCTTAAAGGCAAGAGAGCATCACAAAATAAATTCCAGTGATAATATATCCACGAAAAGTGACTCATCTGACGACTGATTTAAAGGGAAAATACAATAGCGATTTTAGGCTAGGAGGTATAGGAAAAGTCTGATTATAGCAGTTCCACAAATCCTGGGCAGGTTAGTAAGAGTTGTTACTACTTATAGTTAGTAGAAGTTACTAGTAGAGTTAGTAGCTGTTGCTGAATAGTGAAATAGTATTTACTCTGCATGTTCCTTAGTGAGGAAAAGAATGAGTTAGGTACGTTCTTGGATGACCCGTGGGATGCACACTTTTGAAAGCAAGCACTTCGTTCTGATCTAATAGGCCTGAGAGTTGTGCCATACTCTGGCCCCAGCAATCTAGTCTGCCTACCTAGGCAGGACTCTGCAATCAAGAGGTTGGACCAACTCATTCTCCCCTGATGCCCAGGTTATGTCTGATGACAGATTCAGGACCGGGAGTCCCTGAAAGGGGGCCTTTAAAGAAGCTGAAGAGTAGCAATTTCTTGGAGAATTATGCCTTTCACAGGGAATCCAAGACAGAGCACGGCCACCCTAGACATTCCCCTGGTGACTGAGCACCAAGATGCCTTGCAATTGAGCTCCTTGATCTGCTGCTGTTTAAATATGAGATCCATCAAAATGGCTGCCCAGATTTACTTCACCCTTGCGACTGTAATGAGTCCATTCTTGCATGAGCTCGGAATCTCTCAGTGAGCAAACTAGTAATTGTCGATGTTTTAGGGAATAACATGATTAACTCGTCTTAATTTTCTTGGGCTTAGAACTGAAAGTCTTGCATCTCAGTGAAACTCCTCTGTACTGGAAAATTGAGGACAGTTGGCCATGCTGGCGGGGAAATTTGGGGACACACAGCAGATTACTGAACAGTGCATCCCAGGCCCCTGTCTTATGAATTTCATGTCCTAATGATGACCTGGCAGGAAAGACGCACAATTGCCTCTTTTCCTCTGAGCCTCCTGTCAGAGGCCCACCAGTGGTCATGGGCCACCTTACAGAGGTCCCTGTTTCTTGTTGTTTAGGTCCATTTTTCAGTACCTGGCCAAAGAGCATCCCAAATCTGACAGCCTGGGTGGAAAGATCTTTCAGGCGGGCCATGTCACCCCCGCACTCCAGCTGAAAGGGAAGAGCACACAGCTTACCAACAGCCTGACCTGCTGCTGGGAGCCAGCGCCTCTCGTTATCTTCATCCATTCTTTGGTCCCCACACCCTCGACTCCATGTGCATAACAGAGTTCTGTCTCTAGACTATATACCCACCATTCATTCAGTCCACAGGCATTCGTTGAAAATAGGCTATACATCAGGAACTGTGCTCAGTGATTTCAGGGGATGCAAAGAGGAGAAAAAGAAAAATGCACGAACAGTCTCATTGGGGAAATAAAATGTGTACCTAAGTAGCCTTGTTATGAGGCAGAAAATGACCACAGTGTAGTCAAGAACGAGTAAGGCCTCATGAGAGGCCTCCTTGGGCAGGGGTGGAGTGGGGCAAGAATGAATTTCAGGAGGATGGTAATGACAGCAGGTGCAAAGAAGACAGACAGGATCAGAGGCAAGAAGAGGGAGGTGGGGACTTCCTGAGGTGTTGGCCCCCAAAACTGTCTCCTTTCTCTGTGGCTCCTCTGCCACTCTCTTCGAGTATAGATCTGAATTATGTCCCAAAGAAGCACCGTTTCACAGAGTCATTGTCTACTGTGCAGAGAGCGTGGAGCACCATGGCTTGCATAAGACAATAGGCATTTGTTGAGCTGGATTGAATTTTAACTAGTGACTCATACTTCGTCAGAAGGCAAACACTGCCCTACTTCATCTCGAAAAATGCAAGACTGGAAACACGTAAGTACAACAGTTTGCATAGACAATGCACAGAGGGGGAAACGCTGCAAGGAAAAAACATTCATATTTACTTGTAACAAAGGAAATGCATGTTTAAAAACGAGATGTCCTTCTCAATGATCAAAATGAGTTAAAATTAAAACAGTCTGTATTGCTAAGGATGAACAAAGTGCCTAGGCACACTCATGTATTACTGAGGGAAGAGTCATTCAGGCTCAGCCTTTGTTAATGTGTATCAAGAACAAAAGTGCACATTCCTTTTTGTGCCAATGATTCTATCCTTGAATATCTCCTGTAAGAAAATAACTCAAAGTATAGTAAAATAAACCATTGTATGCAAATATATTCCCCATACTGTCATTTGTAGCAGCAAATTATTAGAGACACCATCAGTTCTTTTATGATAAAGGAAAGTTAAAGTAGCATTGGTCTTGGCATTTTCTTTTGGTGAAGGAGTTTGTAGCCATTAAAAATGATGTTAGGGAGCCAGCAAGGTGTGGTAATTTAAGGTAGCTGGGTCCTATGTGGTAGACTCTGTGGCTTGAGTCCTGGACCCGGTGGCTTTGGAAACATGCTAAGAGTATGTCTTGTGCATGCCCAAAATCCTAAAAGGAGGGGAATGGAGGAGAAGGAATTGTAGCTGACTATTCCCTAAGGGGGGAGGGATGCTTTCTCATTGTCCCTCTATCTCTCTGTCTCTGGCAAGCACACATGCTTTCTGGCCAAAAACAATTTAATAGTGTTAGAAATTGTACTTGTTCTCTCTCACTCTGTCCCTCTCTGGTCAAATTAAAATAAATAAAATAAAGTTAAGTGAAATAATTCTAAAATTTTTTTTAAATAAATAAATAATTTGGGGAAAAAAAGGGGGGACCAGCAGGTGGTGTGGTAGTTAAGGGTGCTGGACTCCCACACGGCTGACTGTAGTTCGAGTCCTGAACCTGGTGGCTTGCTTTCTCACTTCCCCCCTCTCTCTCTTTTTCTCTCACTCTGCCCCTCTCTGGCCAAATTAAAATAAATGAATAAAATAAGTAAAATTAAGTGAAATAATTCTTAAAAAGATATTAGAAATTGCACTGGGGTCAGCAGATGGTGTAGCAGTTACGTTGCTGGACTCCCACATGGCTGACCATGGTTCAAGGCCTGGATCTGGTGGCTTCAAAATCACACTGGGCTCATGTGCGTGAGTGCCCAAGGTCCTAGGAGAAGAATGGAGGAGAAGGGATTGAGGTGTGCCCGTTTCCTCTGGGAGGTGATTTCTCACTTTTCTTCTCACTGTCTCTGTCTCTTCTGGCGAGTGCCCATGACCTATGGCAAAAACTTCGTAAAAAATGTAAAATTAAGTGAAATAATTCTTAAAAAGATATTAGAAATTGCACTGGGGTCAGCAGATGGTGTAGCAGTTACGTTGCTGGACTCCCACATGGCTGACCATGGTTCAAGGCCTGGATCTGGTGGCTTCAAAATCACACTGGGCTCATGTGCGTGAGTGCCCAAGGTCCTAGGAGAAGAATGGAGGAGAAGGGATTGAGGTGTGCCCGTTTCCTCTGGGAGGTGATTTCTCACTTTTCTTCTCACTGTCTCTGTCTCTTCTGGCGAGTGCCCATGACCTATGGCAAAAACTTCGTAAAAAATGCACTTAATTGAGTTCATCATAATTTTTTTTTAAAGACAATAAATAGAATGAGATCTTAATAGTGGTTGTCCTTGGATAATGGGTCTGAGGTATTTTTCTTTTTTCCACTGCTCTGCATTTTGAAATTTTTTTTAAAAAGAATTATTTTATTTAATATCGTCATTATTATATTTTTTAATTTGACCAGAGAGAGAGAGAGCCCGGGGGCAGGGAGGGGTTGAGAAAGCAAGCATCAGTCTATAACTCAAACTGTGGTCAACTGTGTGGGAATCCAGAACCTCAATCACCATGCCACCCACCGGCCCCAGAAATTTTTTGATACTATGCACACATTATCGTTGTGTCTGTCAGGGTACTCAATCTGAAGGGCCTTGGGAGCAGTGTGATCACACCCCATCCAATTCTCCAGACCTGCCGGCAGATGCTCTAAGCACCTGCAATCCAAGACTGGCCTCCTCTCTCCTTCTCTCTCTCTCTCTGTCTCTGTCTCTCTCTCCCTTTTGGGATTTGGGGCACATGCTCTCCCCACTTCCTCTGGAGGAGGATCCCATCATGTCCTGACCTCAAAGACCAGAGATGTCAAATGTGAAACACGTCTCCAGAAAAAGCAAAGTCAGAAAGGCAATAAATTTCAGTAATTGTTTCCTTGCTGAGCTGGCGACTCACTGCGTGGTAGTGACTGGCTGTAATCCGGACCAGCCATGACTCCGGGAAGAAGTTAATGTGCTTTAACTCAAGCAGATCCTTGCCTTGGAAGAAATACAAAGAGGACACTTTTACAGTTTTATTCACAACAGAACCTTAAAAGACTCCCTTAAAGAAAGAAAAAGGAAAAAGTCAGAAACTGAGGGAAAGGAATAAGATGGAAACAAAACACCTCAGAATCTCTGTGGTTGTGCTCAGAGTCAATTACTTTTGTACTTCATATTCTTTTTTAAAAACTATACATACACATTTCCAGAGGAATGAATGAACTCCCCATTTCAGTAGGAAATTCTCAGTACTATGTATAAATGCTTTCAAATGTAACTTACATTGTTTTGAAGACAATGTATTTCCAACAACCCTACGAGAAACTATTACTGCCCAGTGAGCCCTGGAGGGTATGTTGGGGACTATTGTCCAAGAAGAAACCATTAATGGCCTTCAAAGATCAGCTTTGACCAATCAGCCATACTCTTGAAAGATATTTCAGTTCACACAATATAACAATGAAAAATATGGAAGAAGATATTTAGATTGAACATCGATCCAGTTAAGCATGGCTTCTGGGGTCAGCCCCGTAGCACAGTGGTTAAATGTTGTGCATAAAAGCCTGGATCCTACATAACCAATGTTGGTTTGAATCCTGAGGCCCCAGCAGTTTTAAAGGCATAGGAGGTACATGTGTATGCATGCCCGCTGTCTGGGCAAGAAGGAGAAATGGACGAAAGAGTGCATGTGACCAAGCCCCATAGGGGGCATGCTCTCCATGAATGCATGTGCTGACTGACACATTAAAAAAAAAATTGCTTTTGTTTTTCTGTTTTGTTCCTATACATTATACTTTTCCCTAGGTCTTCCTTCCCAGGGCTGTGCAAATTCACAAGATAAACATAAATGACAGTGCATGCCACACCCTTACCAAACTCCCCCAGCCCGCTGGCTGCAATCCTCTGGCCAGGGAGATTTGAGATCAGACAATCCATGTTTGGGAGTGTCTAGAAGCAACATGGACAACACTGCTTAGCTCCCTATGTGTTTTAGAAAAACCTGTTTATTGCATCTGGATAGTTGGGAATGGCTTTGAAAAATCCTCCATGGTCCTTTCAGATGCAAAGATCTCATTAGGTGGCTTCCTCCACTGCTCAGATGTATTTCCCAGTAGTTCCCTCCTCATTCCAAGTCAGAACTGCCTTGTCCTGTGCCCAGAGCACGAGGTTGAAAAAGCACAAAGCCTGAATCTGAAATGCAGACCGGGTTTTGCCTCAGACTGCCAAATAAGCCACCTGGGAGTTAACCCCATGCACTAGCAGGCACACCACAGATGGCAGCGAAACAGCCCTGGGCAGCTTCGGACTGCTTCACGGTATGTACGCCTCTTCTACCCATCATTGTATTACATGGGGGCTCTTTAAAAAAAATTTAATATATTATTATTTTTTAGGTTTTTGTCATAGAGCACATACACCCATTGGAGAGAGACCAAAAAAAAGTGAGAAATCATCACCAGGGGGCGAGGGGGTGGGGGGATGGCTATACCACAGTCCCGTCTCCTCCATTATCCTCTTGGGATTTGGGGCACATATGTATATGCACCTGGCATGAATCTCAAGCCACCAGATCTGAGATTCAAATCATTGTTGGCTATGTGGGAGTCCAGTGCTTTAACTACTGTGCCACCTGCTGGCCCATCATGGAAGCTGTTGCTATGATCATTTTATAGATAAGGGAACTGATACTAAGTGGTTATTTGTCTTTCCCAAAGTCTACGGTGTGGAAATAACAATGCCAGATTCCTTTGGAAATTTCTGGTGGGGCTGAGGAAATATCAGGAGTGGCTGAGGGCTGGGGAGGATACCCACAAATAGGCTAGGTCTTACCTCTAGTGATGGCATGCATACGCAAGCAGAGGAAGAAATCTCTGTCCTACATCCCGTTCCAGAAAGCAACACTTCTTGGGAAAGCTTAGCAGAAGCGTAAAGAAGAATAAAAAACCTTCAGAACGCTCCTTAATGGAATTCTTAGCTAGGGCAAGTGAAAGTCATGCCATAGAGACTAGTGGTTTTGCCAGCCGGGGAAGGAGCTACCTGGTTCTCTCCAGATGGTGGGTGTGTGATGCAGGAGGCAGCTTAGTTAACATTCACAAAATTTAACCCCAGAGATTGCAGTAAGACAAATGTGTCTCCCGTGGAGCTGTGCACATAGCAGATGCCCCACAGAGACATATTAGGTGACTGATGAGAACACATGTCACTTTACAGAGGATTTCAACACACATTTCTTACTTGCGTCTCACAAAGTTTCTATGGGATAGGCAGGGAAAATATCATCAGCTCTGTGTTACATATAAAAGATAAAGGCCCAAACCAACCAAGACTTGAACCTGAGCCTCTGACCCCTTCTTTACATATGCTACCCTTCCAGTAAGTGACCACATTAGGTTCTTCAAAAGTATTTTCTGGTAGAATTAAAAAGAAGAAATGAGCAGATGTGTAGGTAACTCTTGGTTGTCAGGAAAGTCATGACACTTTTTTTTTGTGTGTGCAAAGGGAGAAATCACCCCACCCCACCGGGGGATGGCCACGCAGCAATTCCTTCTTCTCCATTCTCCTCCTGGGATCTTGGGCATGCATGCACAGGCGCCTGGTATGAGTTCTGAGGCCCTGGGGGGGGGTGGGGTCTGAGACTTGAACCACAGTCGGCCATGTGGGAGTCTAGCGACAGAACCGCTATACTATCTGTGGGCCCCACCTGGTGTTGCTTAGCCACAGGGTGCAGAGGCATCTGCTTCTCTCTGGCCTGGTAATAAATGTGTTTACTTCATGCCATGTGAAATGGGATAGTGGGAGGCTAATTCTAGGGGCGTTTTTGCAAGGCTGTGTTGGCGGAATCAAAGCCTGATATGGCTTCCCCGGTGCTGAGCTCAGTCTGTATGAAGACCACTTTTGGTTTAACACTTACTGTTCTGAGACAAGCTGCAAGCCATGGTCTCTATCTTCAACAGTTTACTAAGAAACCTTTGAGATGTGACCTTTTTAGGGAAGACTGATCACTTTTCCCTGATACTAGAAGACACGCCAAGGTTGGCTTTGGGCCCAGCTGTCAAGGTCCTAGGTCCTGAAAGACAGTGCCTGGGGACAAGACTTACTCTGACTGGTGCAGGTTGTAATTTTAGAGATATTCCTAGCCACATCTTTCTTCCTTTCTCCATCTTGTCATCTGCTGGTCATTACC